CTATTCCTTTCTCCCCTCTTCTAAGTTTCTGTTTCCTTGTCTTCCTCAGGCCCATCAGTTTCAGTCTTTCCCTCCCTTGCCCCTGTCTCTCTCCCTCTAATCCTTCACCAGCAGCTCATGTTCCTCCTCACCCCATCCCCAACCCAGACCTCTCCTGTTCTCTCTCTGTGTGTCTTTGTCTCCCTGTCTCTGTCTCTCTTCTTTCTGGTCTCTTTTCTTCCCACTCACTCTCTATTTTCGTTTGTCTCTGTATCTCTGGGGGTCTCTGGCTCCATTTCTCACTTTCAGCTTTTCTGTCTCTCTGCCTGTTTTTGTTTGTTTCTCTCTCCCGCCCATATCTTTCTCTGTCTCTGTATCTGACATTGTAAGAGTCTCTCCCTCCCTCATTCACCTCCCCACCTTGTCTTTCTCCCTCCTGATTTCTTTCCCTCCCAACCTCCCTCTCCCTGTTCACGATCTCTTCGTGTCTATGTGCATGCATATGAAGGCATCTAGGTGTCTGGGTCTCTCCCCATTTATTTCTCAGTCTCTATCTCTTTCTCTCCATCTCTCTGTCTCTGTCTCATTCTCTTATCTGTTTTTCCTCTGGGTATCTCTTTCTGTGTCTGTCTCTTTTTCTGTTTCTCCTTTATCTTTCTCTCTCTAGCTCTTTCTGTTTCTCTCTCTTCCTCTCACCCACACACAACTCTGTGTGCTTGCTCTCTATCAGTCCTCTTGTCTCTATGACCTTCATTTTTGTAATGATTTGTAGACAGGGGCCTTGACTGAACTTGGCTTCCCCCAAAGATGGCTGCATTTTCCTTACTGACTGAGAGGAGAGAGGATGGTGAAGAAACACAAGTGAGCGCACACGCATCCTGGTGCCTTTCTTATTTCCCCCAAGACACCACGATACTGCCTGCAGGCCTGGGGCCGGATGAGCGGGGGTGCTGGCAGCCTTCCTGCCAGGGGAGCACAGCCCGTGCAGGCCGCTGGGTCGGGAGTGGTGCGGTGGGTGGGTGGGTGGGTGGGGTTACCGCTGCCACTGGAGTCCGGCTTCCTCTCTGGTCTCAGCCCCTTCATCACACAGATGCTCTCCATGACCAGCTTGACAGGACCTGGTGGGTTCTGCATCGACTTCACCAGTGAGATGTCTGCTGGGTTCAGGGTGTCCAGTGCAGCGAGTGCAGCCTCCAGAGCCGGCATCGCCTCTGCCAGATCCCCTTCACATTCGTTCTGCAGGCGGCACAGAGACAGAAGAGGTGAGTGCCTGGTGCCTGGCACACTGGGGGTGAAGCAAGCTCTGCTCCTGGGGGAAGCAGCAGAAGTGAGAAGAGGTGCCTCCCGCCCCAGTGTCCTTCCAGGACACTGCTCCCTCCCAGAGGTTTGCATGGCGAGGGTGGCTCTCACAGGCAGCAGGGAAGCATGCATGCATTTGGGAGCTGTGGTCTGGATGCCTTGGACATTTGAGAATTTACCGGTTTTGCGATCTTAAAAAAATCATGCTTTTGGTTTTTAACGAATTCCCAAGAGATATATGCAATCAGTGACCTCATACCCATTGATCAAGGATGGGTTGAGAAGATGAAGTAAAGAATGAAGCCTAGGGGTGAGTGACAGATGGGAAGGGGATTAGGGCAAGTTTGGGGAAGAATAAGGCATGGGGGTGGGAGAATGTCAGAGATGGGGTGAGGGTCTGGGATGCACTGTAGCTCAGAGATGGGGTAGGGGTGGAGCTGGGGACAGGGTGGAGTTTAAGGCAAGACTTTAAGGAGGAGGAATGAGGATAGAGATTAGAGCTGGGTAGTGAGTTCTGGGAAAAGGAGACTGTATATGTTTTGCCCATTATTTCTTTATTTGAAAATAAAGCTAATATAATGGAATATTACTCATCCATAAAAAGAAATGAAGTAACAATTCATGCAACAACACGGATAAACCTTGAGAACATTATGCTAAGTGAAAGCATCCAGATAGACACAAAATGCCACCTCCTCTATGATTCCATTCACATGAAATGTGTGTAAAAGGAAAATCCACAGAGGCAGAACGTAGGTTAGTGGTTGCCAGGGGCTGGGGAGAGGGAGAAATGGCTAGTGACTGCTAATGGGTACAGGTTTCTTTTTGGGTAATGAAAATGTTCTAGAAGTAGATAGTGGTGATTGTTGTACAACTTTGTGAATATACTAAAACCTCTGAATTGCATGATTTAAAAAGGTGAATATTAATGGTATGTGAATTATATCTCAATTTTTTTTTTTTAAAAGGGAAGATTGGGCTTCCCTGGTGGCGCAGTGGTTGAGAGTCCGCCTGCCGATGCAGGGGACACGGGTTCGTGCCCCGGTCCGGGAGGATCCCACGTGCCACAGAGCGGCTGGGCCCATGAGCCATGGCCGCTGAGCCTGCGTATCCGGAGCCTGTGCTCCGCAACGGGAGAGGCCACAACAGTGAGAGGCCCGCGTACCACAAAAAAAAAAAAAAAAAAGGGAAGATTAACATTATAAGATTTCAGAATTTCATAGATTACAGTTGGCCCTCTGTACCTGTAGATTTGGAACCACGGGTCCAGAGGGCAGACTGCAGGGGCTTGAGCATCTGCGGATTTTGGTATCTGTGGGGTCAGGGCCCGTGGGGGTGGGGAGGGCTGGACCCAATCCCCTGCAAATACAACTGCATTTAGCAGTTCAATTACCAAATCCTCCTCCTACAACAACAATGAAACGAGGTAAAATGAGTTAGCCAAGGTCACAAAGCTGGTTAGTCAACGAGCCAAGCTCCAACCCTGGGCCCCTGGCTCTTCACTCAGTGAATTTTCTGTTAGTCACCCAGCACAGGGATTGATCACACAGGCATGACTGAAGTGAAACTTCAAAAGAGAATGTTAAAAGCAGCATGTCGAAGTCTATGTCCTGCACGTTTATTTGTGATAAGCAAACAAAATAAAGGAGGTTCCACCTTCTTACATACAGGTGTGTGCATGTGTGTATATATACACGCATGTGTATATCATGGATTCTTTATTTTAGGTTTTCTGCTTTTCCTATAAATTTATAGCAAGGTTTCATTTGGCTTCCTTATATTAACCCCCACCCCCAGATGAGCCACGTTAGATGTCCCCAGTATCAAAATGGAACGTCCTGCTTTGGATGGTAAGAATGGCTCAGTCCCAGGGGCAATTTAGTTTGCCCCTTCTTCAGCCCTAGGATATGTACCAGAGTGCAAGAAAAGGGGAAGGACCAGAGCTGACCCCTGCTGCTTCTCATGACCAGCTTCAGAAAGGGTTTGGTGGCAGAGGAGACTACAGGTTTTGGCTCAGCTACATTTTGGATTCTCAGTAGATTTCAACCATCCCAGGTGCCCCTGGTGTCCTATTATTGATAGTTCTGTGTCACTTTCTTATAATGTGCCAGACAACTAGTGGCCTGCATTCACATTATGCCTCCCAGTGGCCCGGTAGCTCTGCTTCTTTCCTAAGGGTAAGGCCTGGATTCTAGCAAGTTTGTTTGTTAAGTGACTCAAAAGGCCTCTAATTGTAACATTGTCTCTAGCAGTGATTCTCAACCCTGACTCTGCATCAGAGTCACTGAGGAGCATTTAGGGCATTCTCATGGTCAGGCTCCACACCCAGAGATTCTGATTCATTCAGTCTGGGTGGGGTCTGGACATTTGCATTTTTAAAACTCCAAAGCTCTGTTGAGAGATTCCAGTTGATACTCTGGAAACACTGAAAACAAGGCAGGAAGGAACAGACTTCAACGCCCAATAGGGGAATGGCTACTTGATAGGTGAAGCACCTACTTAAAATGGTCATTAAAATGATTATATGACATTTTGGAAAAATATTTGTGATAAGCTGTTAAGGAAATTAAAAAGCATAAAGCAAATCACAATTATGCTATGATTGCAATACCAAAACTATCCACGTGTATAGACAGGAACTAGAGGAAAACTTGGAAAATTGGAAAGGTGTTAAAGTTGAGCTCTTAAAAATTCTTTTGTACGTGTTATGACACCATTTGTTTCTATGATTAAAAAAATTATAATTAAAAATGACTTCTGGGGCTTCCCTGGTGGCACAGTGGTTGAGAGTCCGCCTGCTGATGCAGGGGACATGGGTTCATACCCCGGTCCAGGAAGATCCCACATGCCGCGGAGCGGCTGGGCCCGTGAGCCATGGCCGTTGAGCCTGCTCATCCGGAGCCTGTGCTCCGCAACGGGAGAGGCCACAACAGTGAGAGGCCCACATACGGCAAAAAGAAAAAGACTTCTGTGGGGACTTCTCTGGTGATCCAGTTGTTGAGAATCCGCCTTACAATGCAGGGGGTGCAGGTTCGATCCCTGGTCGGGAAGCTAAGATCTCACATGCCGCAGAGTGGGGCAACAAAGCCCGCACGCCGCAGCTACTGAGCTCGCCAGCCACAACTAGAGAGAAGTGCGTGAGTCCACACGCTCTGGAGCCCACACACTGCACAATGAAGATCCCGCGTGTGGGCCACAACTAAGACCTGACACAGGCCCCCCCAAAAAACACCCCCAAAAATAAAATAAAAATGACCTCTGTGGCTTAGCAGTGCACAGAGCAGCAGGGCTGTTTGAGGCGTGTGAAGCACAGTGCTTGTGGATGAAATGTAATCAACTCTGCAGTACTCCTGACATCATTTATTATCCTTGTTACGGGGGAAAGAAATGATCCATTAGCTTAAAAAGAATCGACCAATGTAAGTAAACCATTTTATTTGGAAGCAAGCTCTTGTTTGAAGAATGGTCAGAAGAAATTTCTAACTGCTAAGTGGAGACACAGGGACAAGCATCTTCAGCTAAGTGCCAAGAGCCTTGGAGTCTGATCCTACCAATTAGCTGTGCGGCTCTGCAAAGTCAATTTACCACTGAACCTCAGTGTTGTTGACTTCTAGACATTGATGGCTGTCATTAGTAAGTCCAAAGTCATTGTGATAATGGAACCGTATACTTGAAAGTGCTTGGGGAAATATATAACATGAACATTAATCAGATTTTCTTCTATTATCTGAATATAGGTGAAGCCCTTCCCAGGACTGTTCTTTGGTATAAGAATTACCTTCAAATGGGGTCCTCTAGATTCAACAATCTGTCATTTGACAAATATTTACTCCACACCTATGACATGCCAGCCACATTTGAGCAAAAACATGATTGAGGTGAAGGAGATAGCCAGAGGGAACAGCCAGTGCAAGGGCCCTGGGATGGGAACATGCCTTGTGTTTGTTTGGGGAATAGCTAGGAGGCTGGTGTGGCCAGAAGAGTCAATGAGGGGAAGGTAATAAGAGATAAGGTTAGATCTCGTTGGGGCTTATAGGACTTGACTCTGAGTGAGATGGAGAGTATATGTAAAGCAATAATGCTTCCTGGAGAGAGCCAGGTGTCATTTGCTAGCTATGTGATGCTGGGAAAGCATCCTTTCAAGCCTTACATTTTTCCTCTGCAAGATGGGCATGACCATGCATATTCTGCAGACTTTGTTAGGCTCTAGTGAGATAATAGATGAACCCTGAAAATGCTGATTCCCTTTCTTCTCTCAGCAGTTTATACCTTGATTCCTTGAGCAGTGGCGGCAGCAGCATTGGCTTCTTCTTCATCGGCTTGCACCAGAAGTTTCTTGGCATCGGCTTCTCGCGTCTCCCCTTCAATTTTCACCATCATCTTAGCGGTCTCCTCAGAGGTCTGAATGAGTTGGGGTTGGAGGGCAGTCAGTTCTACTTGCATGACGGCCACCTAACAAGGAGAGGAAGGGGGGAGGGGTGCAGGGTCAGCTATGTCAATGCCGAAAATGGCATGGCTGGCAAAAGTTGAAACGATTCTCTAACCTATGATACACGCAGAAAATACTAATGATTTTAATGGTACTGGGTACATATTTGTTGGCTGGAGTTTCTCTCTTTGATCTTTCAATATTTTGTTACTGAGTTCATGCTATGTGTTGTAGTTACCAAGCTCTGTGGTAGGCACTATACATATAACAGTAAACAAAAAATTTTTTAAAAGATACAACACTTGAAAAAAGATATTCCTTGGGGCTTCCCTGGTGGCGCAGTGGTTGAGAGTCCGCCTGCCAATGCAGGGGACACGGGTTTGTGCCCCGGTCCGGGAAGATCCCACGTGCCACGGAGCGGCTGGGCCCGTGAGCCATGGCCTCTGAGCCTGCGCGTCCGGAGCCTGTGCTCCGCGACGGGAGAGGCCACAACAGTGAGAGGCCCGCGTACAGCAAAAAATAAAATAAAAAAATGATATTCCTCCTGCATTGAGCCTACACTCTAGTGTTGGGGGCAGCGAGAGAGGCCCGCGTACAGCAAAAAATAAAATAAAAAAATGATATTCCTCCTGCATTGAGCCTACACTCTAGTGTTGGGGGCAGCGAAAGACAGAACAAAAGTAAGTTAGGAGGAAAAAAACCTCTACATTTTTTTAGGCTGTGAAGGAATCATACATGGCTGAGAGAGCTGGGATACAAGGAAGTTTCAAGGCCATTTTTTCCCAACAGTCTGATGCTCTCTAGAAAGTTCCTGCCAGGTAGTTTTCTGGCCACTGTTTGAACACTCCTAATGGTGGGGAGCTCGCCACCTCTCAGGGGAGCTGGGCCATTTTTCAGGCAGCTGAACACATTAGATTTCCTGATAAGGAGCTGGAATTTACCCCCAGGCAGTTTTTCCCCACTGGTTCTGATTCTGCCTTCTAAGGCAGCTCAGATGCTTATCTGAAGAGAGTTTCATAACCTTGAACCCACTGTCCACAGAAAGCCCACATGAGAGAAGAAGCATAGCATGCTGGCCTGATTAGGAACACAGATGCTGCAGTCATGCAGACCTAAGTTTCAGTTTTGGCCTCACAACTTGCACCAGCTACTCATGAAGCTGTGTGATCGTGGGCATGTTGCCTGGCCTCTCTGGGTCCTTGGTCTCTTTGTGTGTAATGTGGTGATAACAGTACTTTCCTTATATACAGCACCAGGCACGTGGTAGGGCTCAAGTAATGTTAACTGGCACCACATTCTCTTTACTGGTCTAGACTGTCTCAGGTCATTTTGCTGCTCAACACAGTTTGCTCACCCTTGTCTGGATAGACTCCAATTTTCAACATCTCTCTAAAAGCTAAGGACCCTGAATTGGACCCAGCAACAGAGCAACAGAGGCACCCCTGATGTTCTTTCCCATCCCTGTGCTGCATGTTGGTGGGTCTGCTATGCTCAGTGACAGGTCAACCTACTGCAAACCATTCAGTTGCCTGAGTTCTTTTTTTTTTTTTTTTTAACGTTTTTATCGGAGTATAAATGCTTTACAATGGTGTGTTAGTTTCTGCTTTATAGCGAAGTGAATCAGTTATACATATACATATATCCCTTCCTTAGTTCTTTATTGGTGCTGAAAATCCATGTCTTAATATGGTTTTGTCAAGTGGCTCAAGCACAAATCAATTACTAATTTATATGCCAGGCATTTTGCTAAGGGTTACACTTGTGTCAGCTGATTTGATCTTCATAACAGCCCTATGAAGTGAAGACTGTTATTATCACCTCTTTTTATAGAAGAGGAAACTAAGGCCCTAAGAGGTGAAATAACATCATCAAGGTTCCATAGCTGATAAGTTATAAAGCTGGAATTTGAGTCCAGGCCCTGCTCGTTAACCACTGCCTTATTCTGCCCAGTTCCCCATGAGAGTATCCAGGGCTGGGGCAAGGGTGAGGTGAGTAAGGCACTTGCCTTGGGCACGAAATTTAAGGGGGCTCCAAAAACCTCAGTATTCAAGATAAACAGTATTTTACTGTAATGTTGTAAAAAGTTAAAATTAGTTCAAAAAGATCCATGATGAACAAAACATCAAAATCTTAAAGACAGACGGGGCTGGGTTTAGGCCAAGCAAGTGAGGTGAGTTCTGCGAGCACAGGGTCAGAGGCTGTGTCTTTATTTTATTTGGTGCTCTCTTGACTTCTGCACCTGAACAAGTGCTTTACCGCATCCTATCAGTCTTGGACCCCTTTGTCCCTGTACTATTTTGGCAGTGCTCACCTGTGAAGCGGCAAATTCAAGTTTCTGCAGGCCTGTCAGGTAGCGGTTCCTCATCATAGCCACCTCTTGCCTCTTCCTATTCAGGAGCGTCTTGAAGGTTAGGATCAATTCGAGGTAGGAGGTGGGGGTAACGTAGTTGTGTCTGCGAAGTGTGTTGTAATAATCAAGCGACAGCTTTTTCGCACTCTCCTGGAAATATTTGCACATGGAGATGACCCTGCTGAGGACACAAAGGTGGTTAGGCAGGCCCAACTTGCTCCAGAGAGATCCAGTACAGCCTCGGTTCACAGATGTGAGGATGTGAGAAAGCCACTCACTATGGCCCACTAGAATCCCAAATTCTGTGAAGCATGTCAACAGAGCCTCGAGAATGATTGGGGAAGTATATATTCTTACTAGAATGATCTTTGATTAGGTAATTTCTATCTTTAATCATTTTTGTGACTCACCAGGGCTTAAGCTGGAGTTCTTAACCTTTGTCAGTCTGGTGAAGACTCTGGACTTTGCAGAAAAATGTTTTAAAATGCATAAAATAATATATAGAGGGTTACAAAGGAAACCAATTATGTTGAAAGAGTTTTCAAAATATTTTAAAACCCAAATTTATGATATAGTAATATGTGTGCTTTTATTTATGCATTAAATCAGGGATCAGCAGACTCTTCCTGGTAAGGACCAGATAGTAAATATTTTAGGCTTTGTGGGACAAGTTCCCTGGTGGTCCAGTGGTAAAGAATCCACCTTCCAATGCAGGGGACGTGGGTTTGATCCCTGGTCAGGGAACTAAGATCCCACATGCCGCGGGGCAACTAAGCCCACACCACAACTACTGAGCTCACGCGCCTCACCTAGAGAGCCTGTGTACCACAAACTACAGAGCCCATGTGCTCTGGAACCGCATGCCAAAACTACAGAGCCCATGCACCCTGGAACCTGTGCACCACAACTAGAGAGAGAAAACCTGCACGCCACAATTAGAGAGAAGCCTGTGCGCCACAACAAAGAGCCCGTGCGATGCAACGAAAGATCCCGCATGCCCCAACCAAGATGCCGCATGCCCCAACCAAGATCCCACAATGCCGCAACTAAGACCTGACGCAGCCAGAAATTTAAAAAAAAAAAAAAATTTAGGCCTTGTGAGCCACATGGTCTCAAGAGCAACTATTCAACTCTGCCACTGTAGTGTGCATGGCTGTTTCCCAATAAAACATTATTTACGAAAATAGGCTGTGAACTAGACTTGGTCCATGGATCATCATTTGCCGACTGTGGCATTAAATAGTAAGATTGGACAGCAGATCTAACAACTACCATCATTTTGAAGGAAATGATATATTTGGGGCATCTGTAATGACTGAATGAGTTATGAAAATAACCATGATTCCTACTGGTAACAAAGTCACACAATCCTACTGGGGTTTATTGCCTACATTCATTGAAAAAAATGCAAAGTATCAGTTAGATGTCAGTGAAAATGAAGATGTACTTTTTCCCCACTCACGTTCACTGTCCCTCTGAATTCTGTTCATGAGCCTATGGACCCAGGTTAAGGGTCTTCTGGCCTAGAGAGCAAAGTTCAAAGTTCTTAAAAGCCATGAATATTCTGACCGCTACCTATTTCTTCATTTTCTATTCATTCATTTAATAAGCAGTAATTGAACCTACTATGTACCAGGCACTTGCTAGGCACTAAGGATACAGAAGTATACAAGAAGGTGATATGACCCCTGCCTTCATGGGACACCTAGAGTGGTCAACAGTCTTAACCCTTCTCTTACTGTAGCCAAAATTCAGTGTTTTTTTTTTTCGTTTGTATATCTGTGCTTTATACAAAAAAAGAGTAAGTTATTTTCATAACAAAAAATCCTCACAAGAACCAGTTTTCATCCGCTTGGCAGCAATATCACCCCTCTTGAGAATGCATGCTCTAAGACTATTGAAATAGCAATAGTATTATATCCAGGTTCTCATAGCTATGACAACAGTGCATCCCTAGGACAATTCTGAACAATGAAATGTTATTCTTTTTCAGCAAAGGTGTTTTATTAAATATCTAAATGTGATTTTAAAATATTAAGACATTTTCTATACATAAAATGATAAGTTTTGAGACATTAACAAGAATAGAGCCAATATCTAGATTTTCATTTGAAATATTTGGTTGCCGTACTAAAATGCAGCTAACACTTACTCTATCCGAGTATTGTCATCGAGCTCCACATCTTCTAGAAATGTGTTGGCTACCATTTCCAGGGCATCTGTGGGCCAAGACTGGAACCAGTCAATTGTGCAGCAATTGATCAGGGAAGGGAACATCCGCAGGTGGTTCCGGAAGGCGTCCCCAATCGGACTCATGGCTAATGAAAAGTAGACTTCGTTAGTTCTCTTTCTCCAAGTCAAGGAGGCTGAAAGGGACAGGCAGGTCTTTCCAAGGATTCTGGTGGGGTAAGGGAGCAGTCATGTTTCCTATATTGGCATTCCAGGGTGTGATTGGGAATAGTCAGGATGAGTGCCTGGGAAGCACAGGGGAATCATGGGATATTTTCAGGAAACTTTGTGATTGGAATTCCATTTATTACAATACCTTCTGGCTCATCTCCAGTATCCACATTGTCCCTTCCAGATCCTTAGGGTCACACAGCCAGAGTGGCTTGAGCCCTTTGACCCACGTGCTCTGTTTGTTCTGACTCACAGACGTAAGGGAGCTGTGGGGCCATCAGCTTGTTTCTGACCCCATCCCCATCCAACCACAAAGGTCGGATTCTATGCTCCAAATTCCGTTCACTGTTTATTTAGACCCAGTGTGGTGGGAGGAAGCATAATGCACAGGTGGAAGTGTGAGGAAGTCAGCGTGGCTAAAAAAGAGAGAAGGGGAAGCTTAGTTGGAGATGAGAGTGGAGAGGATGCAGGGGACAGCCTGGCAGGTTGCCTTATAAGACTATAGGTTAGGAATTTTGGTCTTTATCTGAATAGAAAGCAATTTAGGTGTTTTAATTTGTGTATGTGTGTAAATATACAATGATCACATTTGTAATACATGAAAAAAAAATCCCCATCCTGACTCAGTGGAACATAAAGGTCTGGAATGGACAGAGCAGACACAGAACAGTTAGAAGGCTGTAGAGGTGAGGTCTGGGTGAGATGATAGCGGCTTAGCTAATATGTAGGTGGCAGAGATAGAGATAAGTGGGTAGATATGCGAGAGAGAAGGCAAAAATTGACAGGACATGGTAACAAGAGAGAAGTATTAAACACGACCCCTAAGTTTCTGGATAGATTGGAGGTATCGTTCATAGAGAGAAGAACTCCAGGTGCTGTTCTGTGAGGTTGCCGGGTAAGGTACTAAAAGGAAGGAGAGGGTTCAGAGGAGAATTCAGAGAACTGAGGAGAGTGGAACAGGTTTAAAACAGTTGTTCAGGACAGTGGAAGTTTCCAAAGGAATTCTAGGCACTGACCCATGGGCGAGTGAGTGCCTTGGCTGGATCATTCCTGGCACCACTGTAAGAGGAACGGACTTCAGGCATAGGAGATCCTGAAATACCCAGAGGAAAAGGGCAAACTGAATTTGCTTCTTCTTACCAAGGACAATGTGAAGGTTGTTTTTCACTCTCTCAATAAAGAAGTTATACATAGAAAGAGGAGTGGCTTCCATCTTCTTGCCTTCTGTCCTTGCTGCCATTTGCATCTTCTCCACAAGGTCAGCCTTCTCGTCAGCGGGGAAGATGTTGGGCACGTCTCCCGTGTTCAGAAGCATGTTGATGTCCTCAATGAATGACTCGTCCTTGACCTGGTTATCGGTGAGGAGGAACACAGTACTCCTGGAGGCCACAGCGACCTGTAGCATGATCTTCTTCAGGTCCTCTCGCCAGTCATTGCCTGAGTAGCTCTTAGTGATCTCGATCTGGTACAGCTCATATGAGTTCATGAATGTGGACAGTTTGCTGGCACTCTGCCGCCCACTGCCCCCAATGCCCACCAGGAGCAAGTGGCCTTTGTCCTGCTTCAGGACCCTGCATATCCTGGAGATGTGCTCGATGGTGAACCTGAACATGACCAAGGACATGGGGGCCTTGCTGATGCTGTTGAACTCTTCCAGGTAATACTCCATGACCACTTTGAGCTGTTTTAAGTCAGTGATCTCATCATAGATTTTTTTGTCACTTTCTGGCTTGAAGAAATCTCCAAAGAAGAGGCTACGGATATTATCATCAACTATCTTTCCAGTGGGTGACAGGTGGATGAGGACCTGTGGGAAAGGTAAGTCTCAGCTAGGCATTCAGTCAGTAGCCCCAGCCACCAGGGTACTGGGAGGTGTAGAGGGAGGGAGCAGGGGATGTATTTGTTTCCTCTGAGCATTCTTCAAAGTCATGGTTCATCAACATTTTTTTTTTTTTCTTTAAACAAAATATGTGGATCTCGTGGTTGTAAAGACTATGATGAAAGGACATTTGAGAAAAGAGTGTGAAAGCAAGGGTCAATCTGTTTGCTTAGTGATTAAAACATTGGTGGTTAGATTGTAAGATCCCAAGAGGAGGTAGTCGAAAGATGGCATCATTTTTAATGTACTTGCTCCTTCACCAAACAGAAGTGCAGGCATTTCCTTGGTCCCCACTCTGTACCTAGAGTAGAAATGTTTTAGATGCCTCTTCTTCCTGATATTAAAAACTGGCAGTGCTTCTGCACTTGGCCTCTGGATGCAACATGAAACACTTGCAATTTTTTCTATGGAGAAATCGTAGCTTCTTAAGAATAGAGGTAGAACTAGATGATGCAAATACATGGGCTTAAAACTCTTCTTATATCAAAATAGAAAAGAGAAAATATTTACAAATGGGAAACCATGACAATCTTTCACTCGGGCTTTACCAAGGCATCAATCAAACCATGAAAATTCATGGTGTATTTATTTCTCAACTCACAAATTAACTGACCTGGCAAATGCATTTTACATTAATCATAAACAATAACATCATATCATAAACCATAAGTTTGAATGTATCCAAACTTATATGTTACCAGGGAAGTGAAGTGAAATTGGGCCAACTATTATATCACCAAATTGAGTGATTAGTTGGCTCAATACACTGTTTCTTGAGATTCAGAAAGTGGAGCCGTAAGTCTCTAGTAGGAAGACAATCTGAAATCTGAGACTAGCGTCTTCAAATATTTGGGGGCAATTTCTGAGGCCAAATGATCACAGGGTCTGGCTTACCTTTTCCATAGACTGCTTGAAGCAATTGGAGGTGGTTTCCCTCACCATGTTGAAAAAGACCTGTCTGTCCTCATGATCAATCAGACGGTCATAGAAGACCCGGTAAACCTCATGGATCCAAAGCCGGATAAATTTTTCTACATCCTGAAAATCCAGTTAATTATTTGAATAAATGGCAGGTGGTGACTGAGGTGGTAGTTCTCAAATAGTTTCTAAATCCTGGGGTCGATATGGGGCTTTAATGAGATAATGCTTACAAAATACTTAGCACAAAGCTTAGCATAGATTAAATGCTTGACAGAAGTTAGATATTACTCTTATCATTGTATAGTCCATGTAGCCAAGGATATCACTGAATGAACTTGATAACAGAAATGATAGCGGCTGACCTGTAGGTGGGTGTGAGGGCAGAGCAATACCCCTTGGATCACCCGTGAGAAGTCCCGCAGGTTAAAGACATAGTGTGACTTGGAGGGAGTTGGCAAGAAATTCTCCACTGCAGCTTTATAAATTGTCATTGTAGCTTGTACCAGCAACTTTCCATACCTTGGGAGGAAGGAGAGGGCAGACCAGTTAAAGAGGGGCCAGAAGTGAGGGCCCCAGGCCAATAACACAGGAACCTCTTACCTTAAGAACATCACATCAAACCCTTTTCCAAAGTGCCAGTCAGAGATTGAACTGAAAATCTTGGTTAAAATTTCATCCTCAAAGGCATTGATGGAAATGATATTCAGATGGCGAGTGAATCGTCCTGGAAAACATGCACAGGTGTGAGTGTGCATATATTCTCACACTTACCTCCTGGGCCTAGAGATCCTGAGATACAGAAGAGTTTTCCCTCTGCCTCAATGTTCTAGAGCTGTGCTGTCCATTATGGCAGCCTTATGAAAGTTAAATAACATTAAAATTTATTTCCTCAGTCTCACTAGCCACATTTCAACTACTCAAGGATAACATGTGACTAGTGGCTGTTGCATTGCACAGTACAGATACAGAACGTCTCCATGATTGCAGAAGTTCTGGTAATAGTGCTAGTCCAGTGCTCAAGGTTGTTAAAAGGTAAAGGCAGGGCTTCCCTGGTGGCGCAGTGGTTGAGAGTCCGCCTGCCGATGCAGGGGACACGGG